ATTTATACAAATAAAGTTAATATACATGTTGTAATTTTACATTTTAAAAGTTCAATTTTTTTCTTGACACACTGTATATATTGGCACAAACCTAATACTTTGTGACCTCTTTATTTTGAAAAAAAACACAAAAACAACAAGTGACCCTATTTATACAAAATTACATCTGATGACAAACTTACCTATTTCTGAAAAACCAATAAGTAGACATTTGTTTGGATATATAAAAAGCAAAAAGAATTTCACAAAACCCAAGCAGATGGCTCTATCCATGCAGTCTTTATTGATCCTAATGTTTGAACATCCTTTACTTGGTATTTTTTCTCCAAGATGGGATAAAATTGGCAAATATGATGTAGGTCGAATTTCTCGTCTGTATAAGTATATGGATGATCTCATTTTAAAAAAAGATATGCTGGTTATTTCTATCTCGAAGCATAAGAAGTATAAGGCCTGCCGGCTTGATTATACAGTTTCACAGATGCGGCAAAAAATTACACACTTGCAGAGTGAAATTCACCAGAAGTCTGTTACTTTTTTTACTCATGAATTCGATACTATTGTTATTCATTCTTTTGAGGTATCTGATATGGTAAATCGCAAAACGAGAAAAATTAAATGAAAAACTGTGTGAAAAATGCTCTGCTAGGCATATTACCATTTCCGTCAATGTCTAATTTCCAAGGCTGAGGAGTTAGGAGTCCATGTTATCATTCAAAATAAGGCTTACATATCAAAAACATATAGCTGGTATGGTAACATAAAGAATATTAGAGGATCTGAGATATACAATTGCCAAAATTGTGAAGTTGTAATAGACCGAGATGAAAATAGTGCTTGTGAAATCTTTCTTTGGGCATTGCTTGATGGAGCTTTGATTCTCTCTAGAGATTATATAGAAAATAGTAATAATACTTAGTAATGCTTAGTATTACTTGTTATTAATATATTATAATTCATTTGTTTATACTTATCATCTGACTCAAATATATTAACTCAAAAAATCATTTCAATATTTATAAATTTTTTTATTTAGAATTATTATTTATAATTATTAAAAGATTATAATTATATATTTTAAACAGTATTTTATTATTAATAACTTTATTAAGAATAAAATAATTAAAGTTATTAAGTTTATTGATATAATTTTTTTATTAAATTTAATTTTTAAATTTAATAATCTATATATTCTTCCTTTGTTTTAATTATAGTTACAATTCTTCATGATATACTATCAATAAGTTTTATATATTTCTCAATAGAAATTTTATTTCATTCTTGCTCAACCCATTCTCAAAGTTCATTCATATCATTAGATATATTTGTATAATTTGAAAACTTTTTTTAAAAATAACTCCATAGATATTCCATAAGATTCAAATTTGATAATTATAAAGATTAATATAAAATTCCAATTTCATTATCTTTTAATTATTTTTGAGTTTTTTTTGTTGAATACTTTAAGTTATTATTATGTTAAAAAATAATATTTTTATGATTTAGTTTATACTATTCTATTATATCTAAAAAATATTTATCTAAAATATTATAGTATAATTCAAGACCTACCCGGTCATAGTTCAGTGGGCTAAGGCAGGGTAGGGCTAACCTATGACCTACGGTTCAACTCCAGCTGGGGGATAATTCATTGCTCAACTAGCTCCTGTGACTCATAATAGAGAGTGATTTGGGTTGTTCTGGTGATCAAGGAGCCTTATGGGTAGACTACACCCCATAGGTCGAAAGATAGATGATCTGATTGGTAAACTTTCTGATCA